CCCAGGGCGAGACACTGGAACCTCAGAGGAGCGGGAGGCGGGGGTGGGGAGGCTTTGAAGAAGCCACATTTAGGACAGCCCCCCACTTTACAGGTGCTGGCTCCGGGCCTCCCACGGCCGGACGTGCCCAGTTCCCGCCTCCGGGCCAGAGTTCCCTCTCGTGCCGGCCGCTGCCCAGCCTAGTCTCGTCTCGTCTATTTGGCTGCAGATCTGGAGAGGTGGCGCCCCGCCCGACTTTTTTTTTTTAATTCCTGTAGAAACGGAAAGTATTAGTGCTAGATGGACCCATTGACTCCCAAACCTTTTCCTGTTTGATTCCCCCCCCCCCTCTTTAATGAAGGAGGAACTGAGCTCGGTGGTGGGAGTTGGCACAGACTCATCTTAGTTCATATATGTTCCCATGTTTACTTGTGCTGCTGCCTATTACCGGGTGGGACAAAGCCTGGCCTGGGGAGCGTGCTCTGCGCACGGTGGGGGTGAACTGCTCATGGCTACGGTGGCCTAGAGCCTACTTCTGGGAGCAGAAAAGCCCAGGCCCTCCCTCCCTGTGTCAAACAGCCGATATGGGTAGTGGGTGGATGGGGGTGTGGCTCCGGGGAGGCAAAGGATAAAAAAGCAGGAACCCAGGGCTTCAAAACTTTTAATTAAAAAACAACTTGGGGTGGGGGGTAGAGGCAGGCGGATCTCTGAGTTCGAGGCCAGCCTGGTCTACCCAGTGAGTTTCAGTTCAGCCAGGGCGGTTACGAAGAGAAACTCTTGTCTCAAAACAAGATAATAACTGAGGTAGTGGCCGAAGTCTGTTATCCCAGACCTCGGGATGCCGGGACATCAAGGGATTCGAAGCCAGCCAGTTGGAGCCTAGCTTAAGGCTGCAGGAGACCCGTCTCAAAAACCCCACAAGCCCAACCCCTTTCAAACTAATCAAACAACAAAGAAAAGGCAGTTGCTCTGAGGTCTGGCTGGGCGAGCACAGACTGGAAGACTGTCATGGTTCAATACCACATAAATAGGCAGGTGCCTACCCGATCCCACCGGTTCCAGCGAGTTGGTATTTGTTTGTGATCTTTGAAACTGACCTTGGAATCGGATGGCTTAGCGTTGCCTCTCTCAAGCCTCTTGGTGTCACCTAAAGTTGTCGAGTCTCAAATTACTCATCAGTAAAATGGGTCCAAGGTTTATGGTACTGAAAGTAGCCAGTCTCCCTTCGGTCCTATTTCACTTCTCAGTGGGGTAGGGACCAATTTTTACTTCCATAGCTCCTCCTTGGCCACTTCTTAAAATCCCAGGGGCCTCTCTTAAATTCTGATTTCCTGTAAGAGGGATGTGTGTTTGGCGAGGGATTTCGGTGTGGTCTGTGGCAGGCAAGGTGGGGGAGTAGCGCCACCTGCTGGACAGATATAGTAGAGCCTACTCAGTCAGTGAAGACAGGCCAAGGCTAACCGATGAGCGCCGAGGACCTCAGGCACCAGGCACCGCAGGGCTCCACTGGCCTTGTCCTTGGTGTCTTGGTTTCCTCTCAAGCGGGTCAAAAGAATGCTGGTTCCCCACAGCAGAGTCTATTCAGCCATCCAACTCCTCAGCCTGTTCCAACTTCAACAAGCCTCTTTTGCTGTGGAGGAATGAGCTAACTTGCTATTTATAGTGGACTTTAGAGTTTACAAGGTTGCTGCTTCTGGGCGGGACGTCATTAAGAAGGGATCAATTTGCTGTGCTCTGGGGTGGGTTGGATTCTACCGCCTCCATCCAGCTGTGTAACCAAGGCAACGTTCAAAACATTGAATAACCAGTAGGACAGGCATCAGCCAATCAGAACAGAGTTTGCCGTAATGGACAGGGACGCCCAAATCTCTGTGTACCTGCTCAAAGTTCTGGACCAGCGTCAGCCTTATTGATTCTGGCTTCTCTCCTACTAAATGGGGATTTAGACGGTAACAGTATCATCTTCTAGGGCTTTTGAAGCCTAAATTAGTTAAGGCATGTAATGGCTTGCCAAAGTGTTGGGTGAATCCAAAGCACCCAGTAGGGTTTAGCCCAAGTGATTCTGCCTCCTTTCTGTGAGTGGTGAGTCACCTACGAGTCAGACTCGGTGATTGCCACTTTTAAGGGATAGTTGCCAGCTGATTCCACTGTGTACTCGAGGCCCACCGCCTGCTTCCCCCACCCCTGCACTAGGCTGAGCAACATCTCCATATTGCTCCAAATACCTCTGTGTCTGAGCCTTTCCTCCTGATTCCGCTCCTGACCCTCTCCTGCCTCGATGTCCAGGAACCCCCTTACTAGCTAGGCACTTCCCACAGCCCATCTTCCCCAAATCCATCCCCTAGCACAGAAGGCCTAGAGCTATCTGGATTCTTGTATCTCTTGGTTCCAAAAACAGCTGCCCTCCTCTGCTTGCCTGGATACAATAGTTTCCTATTGGCCTGCAGCTTCTGGCCATCTGCCCGTTCCCAGCACTCCTGCAGTATTCATCTCAAAAACACAGCCTGCAGGAATC